TATGTTGGTTACCATCCACACAGTTTTAGAGGAAACTTATAATGTAGAATACATTAAATAGAAATATCAAAAATCACAAAATTTTCCACCTTGGAAAACTAAAGTAAAATTAAGCCTAATATAAAAAACAGTAAAAGAAATTAGAGCTGAAACCAGTGCCATTTATAAATAATATGAAACAAAGTAAACTTTTTATTTTGAAAACGGTAATAAAATCCATAGACCACTAAGAAGAGAAGTCACAGATAACCAACTTCAGTAGTCAGAGGATGCCCCATCACCACAGATTGCAGCATCACAAGAACAAATTCAAATTGGGAAAAATCATACGTCCACAGCTTAGAACTAAGAAACTAAAAAACTCACTCAAGAGGTACAGATAATTGAAAAATCTTGATGTACCTAAGAATATAACTAATGATGGTCTAAAAGATAACACCAGGTGTGCGCATTTTCCTGGTGGAATTCAGCAAATACTGAAGTAAGGGACGGTGATAATGTTCTAAAGGACCAGAATCGACTCTCTGTAGTTTCTTGTGAAGTCAATACTACTCTAATTTTTACAATCAGGTAAAATGCATTTTGTTGTAATACAAAATCTATAGAAAACATCTCTTATGAACATGGCCACATAACTCTACAGTTAAATATGTGTAGCCCTTGCACAGTGCACAGTCCTAATGGGTTCAGTCTCGTTTTAAGTCTTAATCAGAAACGGGAAACTACTTACTCCTAACATATTCATTTCTAGTTTCCTTTCTCAATGCATTTGCTGACAAAAATCAGAATCACTACGACACCTAAATTTTTAAAATACTTTTTATGCATGAAAATGTTTTTACTTTTACATGATTATCTGTATACCAATCCTGCCATGGTAACAAGTTATTGAATTTTATTATCTAGTATTTTTGGTTATGGTAAAATAACCAAAATTAGCAGCATCTCACTGGGCGGCGGTAGCACATGCCTTTAATCCCAGCACTCAGGAGGCAGAGGCAGGTGAATCTCTGTGAGTTTGAGGCCAGCCTGGTCTACAAGAGCTAGTTCCAGGACAGGCTCTGGGGTAGGAGGTCCTTCTGTCTATGTGTAGCTTTCATTAGTTAATGAATAAAGAAACTGCCTTGACCTTTTGATAGGGCAGAACTTAGGTAGGTGGGGAATACAGAACTGAATGGTGGGAAGAAGAAAGGTGGAGTAGGAGAAAGATACTATGGATCTGCCGCCAAAGATAGACATGCTAGACCTTATGCAGCTACAAGGTGTTTCTCAAACGCTGCCTACTTTCTCTATAGCTCTGTTAGGATTTCCTGCCTGGCTTTACTCTACTAAACCATTGGTTGGAACAGGTTCATCAATAACCAATAGTAATAAAACATATTCCTAGCATACAGAGGGGAGTCCCATATCAATAAAAGAAATGAAGAGATACCTTGTATGTTAATTTCCAAATAAAATACAGGGCAGGGAAATCTCATCAAATGTGTTAACATTAGTGGTTATGGGTTTTTTAGTTACTTCTATTATTTCTACTTCTCATAATTTAAGTAGTTTTAGGAGAAAAGTTAAGCTAATGGACATAATATTAGGAAATAAGGAACTTAGGAAATGTAAAAAGAATTATCTGATATAAGTGTTATAACTGGGGTCTTTTTTTGTTTTTTGTTTTTTGTTTTTTTTCGAGACAGGGTTTCTCTGTGGCTTTGGAGCCTGTCCTGGAACTAGCTCTTGTAGACCAGGCTGGTCTCGAACTCACAGAGATCCGCCTGCCTCTGCCTCCCAAGTGCTGGGATTAAAGGCGTGCGCCACCACCGCCCGGCAATAACTGGGGTCTTTAATGTCCCTCAAAGGATGTATTAAGAGATACTAGAATATTAGCAGTTAGGGCATTGGGCCTTGAAGAAATTATTGGGATTCTGGTCATCCCCACCAGAAAAGGTAAGGATATCTCTTGGTCTTCTCTCCACAGGTACAGCTCTCCCACGATGGAGCCCTCTTACCCACGGACTGAAACCCAGGAATCTATGAACCTAGTGAGATTTTTCTTGGGTGTTTTGTCACAGTGACAGAAAGCTATCGATAATTGATAATGAGGAATTAATTACTTTCTGTGATTTTATCTGATAATATGGTTCATAGCCTTTGGAGTTGGGTGGGAAAATTTGAAACATTTGGAGAAGCAGGCAGAATGCCTAACCTGCGAGTCTACTGGAGGACGGTACCAGAATGTTGGCAGAAATGTGGACAGAAGAGATTGAATGTTCAATATTCTATAAAGGCAAATTGGAATAAAAAAAACGAGAGAATGCATTTTCTTGTTGATGTTTTCTTGTCTGTACTCATTTAGTGCTGTTAGGTCCTAATATATTTCTTTCTTCCATGGCTATAGTCAAAACACAGAAAACCTTTTAGGATTTGCCTCCTGGTTTCTTTCAGAAAAACCATTAAGCTTATTCACTTTTAGAAAGGACTGAAATGCATGTGCCTTCAAAATCATTTGTTATGGGAGATAAGTTCAATCCAATTAAGTCATCATCATGTCTCACTGCTATTCCATCTCAATTTCTCCAATTTCAAATGATTATAATTTGTTTTACTTCTGCCTTCATTTTTACATGTTCAAGCAGTGATTGCTTTTTCATCTACTTAACAGTGATTAACCACTATTATTGAGTCATTAAATTATTTTTATCTTGCTTAAAATCCTTAAGTATTTCTCTTCTTCTCAAAATAACTTAAAACCCACCAGCTGAATCTGAATCTTTGATAGGTATATGTTTGGCATGATCCATGTTACCACAATAGGTATGGCTTTCTCTGTTACTTATAAAATATTTTTTTTAATACTTTTCAAGTATGTGTGTGCATCCTAGCGTGAGCGTGCACGTGTTTGTGTATGCATGTGTGAGAGTGTGTGTGTGTGCATTCCTGCATGTGTACACATGTTTGTGTATGCATGTGAATGAATGTGTGTGTATATGTGTGTGTGCATGTTTGCGTGTGTACGTGTGTGCGTGTGTGTATGTACATGAGTATGTGTGTGTGTATGTGCATGAGTATGTGTGTGCGTGTGTGCATTCGTGCGTGTGCTTGACTGTGCGTATGTAAATGCTGGTGTGGTGGCCTATGTGGCAAGTATGGAAGTCAAAGACTGACAAGGAGATGCTTTCTTCAATCACTTCCTATGCGACGGGGCCTCTCCACCTAGCTATTCTGGCTGCCCTGTGCTGTCCTCACAGATGTCCCTGCGTCCCCAGTAAGCGCTCCGTTCATGTCATCTGTCACCCTAGCCCTAGGTCTTTTTTCTTTTCAAGTTTCGGAGTTGGCCAGGGTTTACATGATAAAATACACACAGAGCAAAACAAATGTCAAAATGTTAACCAATATGCATGTCATAAATTTAGATACTGGATGTTAGTGCTTGTCTCTGTTAGGGTTTCAATTGCTGTGAGAAGACACCATAACCATTACAACTCTTATAAAAGGAAACATTTCATTGGGGTAGCTTATAGTTCCCACCATTGTTATCATGGTGGGAAGCATGGTGACATGTAGGCAGGTATGGCACTAGAGAGGTAGCTGAGCATTCCACATCTGGACTGGCAGGCATCTGAGAGAGAGAGAGAGACACTGGGACTGTCTTGAGCCACCACCAGTGACACACTTCCTCCAACAAGACCACACCTCCTCCATCGAGGCCACACCTCCTCATAGTGCCGCTCTGAGTCTGTGGTGACCATTTTCACTCAAACCACCACAGTACTGAAATATAATAAGTATTGGGATAGACACTAATGCATGCTAATGTCTTAATGTACAAGGTGATGGAAAAAGTATAGCTTCACTTCTTATGAGACAGCCCACTGACTTCAGGTAATACAGCATATATCATTTCTTTAATACTATTTACCAACACTATTGTTGGTTACATTTAAACCACTGTTATCCCCCATCCGTGTAAACAGGGGCCCATCGATTAGGTCAGAAGTCTCATCATTCAGTCACCTTTCAATGATTAAACACAAGAGGGTTAGGAGAGAAAATTCAAGTTACAAAATACAACACTCAGGATGTTTGAAGTCCACTATAAAAAGTGTTTCCTGTGGTTTGGGACCACCAAGGCCTGCCCACCAGTTCAAGGTAGTACTGGATAAAGTCTGTAAGAAGTGGTCTCTAAGGAGTGAAAGTTAAGTCACTGGGGTGTGCCCTTGAGAGGATGTTGGAAGTCCCCCTCCCTCTCACTTCCCAGGCAGTATGAGATTCCTGCTTTAAACACTACCTTGTGATAAGCCCCAAACAAGGGGGACAAGTAGCCAGGGCTGGAAATTCCAAAACTGGGTCAAATCAACTTTTCCTCTTTTTAAGTTGATTTTCTTCATTAGCTTGTTATAAGAACAGAAAGTTGGCAGGCATGAAGTTCATGAGTCACAGGTTTCTCAACTGTGACAAAATATGCCTCATGTGCAGTACACCTTGCTCCTGTGGGACTCAGAGCAAGGAGTCTACACAAAAGCAAAGACCATGCTGTGGGATGGTCAGTGATAATAAAATTCTTTGTCTTTGACCTGAACATTTGATCTCTCATTTAACACATCTACAAAACTTGTTAATTTCACAGTTCTCAGCGGACATGAAATTAGGTGAAATAAGATTCCAAGAACATAATAAACTCCATATCATAGTCAACAGCACCCTCGACTTCCAGGATTTTGCAACTGAAAGTAACATTTATATTACCTAGTTCCCAAAGAAAGCTTCTCATTGTACAGACAAAGAAAAAACACTAACTAGGCAAATAATAGTAACTCTACCTGTGGGGCTTCTCTTACCACAACTTGATATGCCATGTTTTGTGGATAATCACGGGAGACCTGCCCCTTTCTGAACAGTGGATGAGGTAGAGAGGGGAGGGGCAATGGGAGAGAAGGAAAACTTTGGTTGGGACACAAATAAGTAAGTAAGTAAATAAATAAATAAATAAAGCACTAGCATTGACACCCTTTACACTTTGAAATTCAAATTCTTTATTTAAGGTGTCCTTGTTCATAAGCACAAATTTCTTTACACAAAATATGGTGAGGTTTTTAAATTATTGCTTTAAGATCCTCTTCAACTAGTGATCTTGCCTACGGACAAGAACTCCTTTTCTGTATTAGACCCATCTATTTATCCTCACTTTCCTGCTCCGACCATTAGTACCTTCCAACTTCATTTTCTAGACTATGCTCTTCTTTGATAGCTCACTTGACTTCTATTTCATCCACAAAGATAAAACCTGGCAAGGAATTTAACTTGTGCTAATCATTCTTCAAGTCAGTGGATACTGAGCATTTTCTAATTACATCCAATCAATGCGGGACTAATTATAACTATGCAGACTAAAACTTATTTGATACTGAAATTCTTGTGTCAATTTTGTTGTTGTTGTTGATTCTGTTTCCATTCTTTGACTTGGTAACATTACGGTTTTTTTTTATTTTCTAAGTTCTCACATAAATATATTCAAAGACAATTATTCAATGAGTATACTAAGAACAGGGTTGGCATTCTAATGTCTGAGAAAAGGCAGCTGGGTTAAAATGATCCACTGTGTCAAATACTAATTTGAAAGTACAAAAGTACACAGTTTTATGAAATAAATTATTGGTGCAGAGGCAAATGTTTGGGAAACCTTTGCTTTTCATAAAGGGAACCAATGATATATTAAAGTGAGCCGTAGTTGAACTGTGCATCAAAGTTTCAGAGAAATGCCCAAGAAAACAATGCCAAACTCAGAATTCCTTATATTTTAAATTTTGTTCTTACTTTATGATTTATAGACTTTTAAGATTCATTTTTACTTCGTAAGATTTGCCTCAGTTTACTATTTGTGAAACAGAAAAATGAGCACTCTCTTAGGATGAATGCAAAGACAGCTCACACAAGGACCATCCTTAGCAGTTTACTATCTGTGAAATAGAAAAATAATGAGCACTCTCTTGGGATGAATGCAAAGACAGCTCAAACAAGGACCATCCTAGGGCCAAAGCCACTGCATCTCTGGCCTCCATAACTTTCTTTTTACTTAAAAAATATTTTAGCTATTTGAAAATTTTGCACGCTGTGATTTGATTAAATTTAACACCCTTAAATCCATCCTCCTTCCCTACCCAACTGTTAAAGAACGAACCAAAACAACAAAAATCCAAGTTTAACTTATACTGACCATATAAATTAGACTGTGGTAGACCTACAAGAGGCCACACCCTTAAAGCAAACTGAGTCTGTTTCCTGGAAGCCATCAATTCCCAACATCTCATCAGTTATGTGTGCGATTTTGAGCACATTTTCCCTCTACATGCTGAGAATCTGTCCGCCTTGTGCTTGCGCCTTGTGCTTGCGCAGGTCTGTGGATACTGCCTAAGTTCTATATACAATGTCCTTGCTTTATCTAGAAAGTATTTCATTGTAGCCATCCACTCCTCCGCTCTTACCCTCTTTCTACCTGCTCTTTCTCAATGATCCCTGAGACCTGGGGGAAGGCACGTGAAACAGAAGTCCATTTGGGACTCAGCCGTGGCTTCTTGTTCTCTTCATGGCCATTTGTGAGTCTCTCTGGTAATCAACATCTGTTGCAAAATGTGTCTTTGGTGGGTGATGATAGGTGCATGGATATGTGGGTATAATGATAAGTTTTTAGTAGTCAGCTTTATCCATTTACCAGAATAATAGTGGTAAGTTCTCTCCTATGTCTACTGATGATCTTTCTAGCTATAGGTTCTTGGCCTCAATAACAATGCTAAATACGGGTTTAGTCCTGTGGAGACGACCTTAAACCCAATCAGAAAGGGGTTGGTTTCTCTTGACATTTATAGCACTGTTGTATGTATGTCTTGCCATATCTGGTATGGTAGCTTGCAGTGTGTTGCTAGGTAAGACTGATGACTGCATTTCTCCTCTGGTAACGCACATAGCGCCCTCCAGCACTGTGAAAGGAATAAAGCCTTCATGTCTGTGCCAGAATCACTCCTCCATGTTCTACGACTCAAGGGTGTGACGTCTGTACCAAGTTTTTGAGGGCAACAAAGAACATTAGCAATATTCCATAATGTTAAGGAGTCTATGGGACCTCAGTGATAAAAATATATATTATTTATATTCATATTTATTCATTGGCCTTTGGTACCCATTGTAGGGTAACCCAATTCAAAATCTCTCTCCTGCTCCCTCTCTTTCTGTCTGTATGTGTATATTCTATGTGTGTATATAATTAAGTATTTATTAGTTGAATCTAAGGGAGCTGAAGCTCAATTATTCTCCACGTAGTTTACACATAGGTAGAACTATGATACCAACGTCCCTTGTGAAAGTGAATTTTAGGAGGAAGTTGTACTAGATTAATCACAAAATAAAGGTGGTATCTCAAAAGAAAGGCAAGCAATTATGATAGATACTAATAAGAATGTGTACATGAGGTTTGTGTGGAAAATTCTAGGTAAGATGATGTCAGCCTACGGTGTCTTGGAGAGCCCAGGGCAGCTATTTCAACTGTTTTTTATTAAATATATGTGTGTATATATGTTAAGAAGTTTCTACAGTAATTTTCCATATGACTTTTCCAAAAGGCATTAGCATTAGTTATCCCTCTGCATGTCTTCCCTCTCATCCGCCACCACATTATCCCTTCCCATTCCTTACTCCCCTTTAGCTTCTATCCCACTGTTTTACCCAGGGCTGTGATAGCACAGACGACTGAAAAACAAGACTTTATGAAGCTAAAAAGCCTCTGTGTAGGAGACAATTCCATCTGTCAGGTGAAGAATAAGAAACCACCTTTACCAGCATACATCGGCAGAGGGATAGGAACTAGAATATACAAGGGGGAGAAAACTAAGCATTAAGAAACAACCCAAATTTTAAAAATGAGGCATGGAACTAAATAGTGAATTCTCAAAATATGAGATACAAATGTCTAAGAGACATTTTGTTTTCATGTTCAACATCCCAAACATCAGGGAAATGCTTGTTAAAACTACTTTGAGATTCCATCTGATATGTTGAGAAAGCCCTTTCCTGAGCCTACAGGTTGAAGCATTTCCCCTGTACTCTATCAGATGCAGTGTATCGGGTTTTATGTTGTATGCCTTGATTCATTCTGAGTGTTAGGAAGGGTGAGGGAAAAGGTTTTAGTTTCATTTTTCTATGTGTGGCTACACAATTCTTCTCCCATGTTGCTTAAAGGAAGAGCTACACTGCATTTGCATTTTAATAAATAAAGCTTGCCTGAAGTTGCAGCATTGATCAGCCTTAGAGATCAGGCAGCGGTGACACACACCTTTTAATCTAAGTAGCCACACTAGTTTGCCATAGAAACCTGTGGTAGTGGTGCACGCCTTTAATCTCAGCCCTGGAGAGGATTATAAAACAGGAAGAGACAGCAGACACAGGGTCATTCTGAGATTCCTGAAGGCAGGATCACCATTTCGAGCTGAGGTAGAGATAAGAGCCAGTGGCTGGCTGTTTTGCTTTTCTGTCGTTCAGGTAATCGTGCTACATTTAACTCTATATATCCTTGCCTTAATAAAAACATTACAGATATTAAATGTCTGTAAATGCATGGTTATGGATTGATTATGAGCCTCAAACAGTTTATCCTCTCATGACCATCTTTCTAGATAGTCGCAATATATTCCACATTTTTATCAATAAAAGCAATTCTAGTAGCCTAACTCTAATCATTATAAAGTTACTACAAATTTTCAACTAGTAAGAATCGCATTTTTCCTATCTTCATTTTGTTCATGATCCATACACAACAAAATGAAGACCAGAGACATGAGGTAAAAGTTAACAGCCCTTCCCAACAGTCTCAGGGTTAGGCAGGTGCACACACACACACCCCTTTCCTGGGAGGAGAGAACGAGTTTCCCATCCACCACACAGTCAACACCGACAGTCACTGGGTAAGTAAGAGGTCTAGGTATTCTTTAACTATACAATGTACTCAGTAAAAGAGAAATACTGAGCTGGGCAGTGGTGGCACACACCTTTAATCCCAGCACTTGGGAGGCAGAGGCAGGCGGATCTCTGTGAGTTCGAGGCCAGCTCGGTCTACAAGAGTTAGTTCCAGGACAGGCTCCAAAACCACAGAGAAACCCTGTCTCAAAAAACCAACCAAACAGACAAACAAAAAAATAGAAATATTGTTTAAAGAAAATTTAAAACTAGTAAATGTATTGAGCTTTTAAAAATTAAAAAAAAATCATGTTCTGACTAAAGGCAAAATTTATTATCAGAAAAAAAAAACTGAAAGTATTTATAAAGTTCTTTGGCAAATATTGAAAACGTATAATTTATCACAGGAGTGGAAGCAGCTGTTAACATTTTATACTGTATGTAATAAATCATACTTTAACAATACTGCAATTATCTAAAGTTTACAGTCACTCGTGTGATTTTAGTACAAAACGCTCCAATTAGAATCGTGTGTCCGTGAACTTCCCACATATTTCAGCATTTCCGACCTTCCACAGAATCTGTCCATCAGCACTACTGTAAAGTCTGTCAACCCTGGAGAAGGCAGTCGCGGTCTCCTCTTAGGTGACAGAGTCGATCTCTGCACTCTGCTTCCTTTTCTTCTTCTTTTTCTTATGGTCACTCTGATAGCCACTGGAGTCACTGGCTTGGAGAGCAGGGTCCTGCTCTTCCTGGTGCCTTTTCTTCTTCTTTTTCTTCTTCCTTGGCTCTTCCTCACAGAGGTCATTCACAGAATCTCCACACAGTAGGTCTGTTTCTTCCCTTGGCGTGACGTCTGCACAATCTGCTAGCTCCGGGACACCGTTGGCTGCTGCATCTGCTTCTGTGTCTTTCTTCTTCTTCTTTTTCTTCTTTGAAATTTTTTCAGCAACCTCTTCAATGCCAGTTTCTGCTATGTCTTCAGAAACTACAGAGCTCTTAAGCTGCAAACTGTAAATGAGCAGATTTTAAAAATATTAACAGCGATAATCAAAAAGACAGGAAAAATGAGGCCAAGACAATTTCAAGAGCCTGTTTTTTGGCATAACAAAGGAACATAAGGTAGTTGGTGTGGCTCTAATTCCAAGAGTCCTGTCTTGTTATTAATCAGGCCACTGAGATATCTATGAGTTGTCAATGTTGAGCTCAATGGTAAAATCACCCAGCTCCTGTGTGATCTTTGCTTTCTCCCCTAGGGCAGGCGGCCTCCAACTGAGGATCCTCTGTCCAAGCCTTCAGAACACTGGGATTACTGGCACATGCTACTACACCTGGCCCAAATTTAACAAAAACAAAAATGTTAATTTTTTTCCTTTTACTGAACTTCTACAGAAGCTCAAACACAGCTTCAGACTTTGGGGATGGTTAAGAAAATCCTGGCTATTAAACAATAAATCCAGGTGAATTAACTAACCCAGGGACATTTGATAAGGAAGTGTGTACTTCTGGTATACACCAAAACAAGAGTCTGCTGTTTATTGTTGCAATTGTCACACACTAACCTTGTGGCATTTAGTTTTCCCCGAATGCAGAAGACTCCCGCAGAATCTGAGTCTAAGCGAAATACATCAAATTCCAGCTCATCCCCTACATTTATCTCCAAGGTCTGCCACTCCTCATAGGACATCTGCTCAGGTTTAGGGATAGAGGCATTAAAACACCCATGCACTAGACAGCCAATGTGACTAGAGGAGACTTTATTAACTGTGCCCTGTAGAGGAGAGAAAAGAAAGAATCAACATCAACTGTGTAATTCTGAAACTCACCTTCAGAAGAGAAAATACCGGATTAATGGTATATTTTCATATCATAAGTTTATTAAAAAAAATCTAACAACTTATTAAGTCATAGCAAAGCATAATTTTAGAAAACTTAGAAACTTTAAACTTTATTAAATATAAGCAACAACTAAGCCAGTTCCGCCTTAATCTAAGGCGTGGTGGGGATGGGGATGGACAAAGGAGCCTGAGTTCCCACTGCAGGATCTCGGAGCAGACAACGCTATGACCACACTCAAGTCAGGGGACTGCACCGTGATGGCATGTATAATATGTGAAAATGCATCATGATGGCATATGTAATATGTGAAAATGCACCGTGATGGCATATGTAATATGTGAAAAGCACAGGCAAGAAGTTTACAAGTGGGTACAGATTAGCATTTCTCTAAACAGACTGAACTTCAAAGCACACAATTCCATAGTTTACTAATTCACATTAACATGATATAAAGTTTTATTACGTTTATTCTTTATCAACCCGGAACACAGATTCTTGACTAAATCAAAAAAAGTAAGGTACTATATGACTTTAAGACTTAAGAAGGTAGCTTTGCATGAAATTTAGTTTCTACTCTCCTTCAGGAATCAACGTGCACGAAGTATATGAATGAAAACCCCACAATATTTTTTAAAGACGCATTTTCTGAAACACAGAACATAAAATAAGGTGACCGTGCATGCTTGCTTATCTGTCCTGACCAGGTATCTGATGGTCTCTCTAAACAAACCACGGTAAAGTGAGAAAATGAAGTATTTATTTCTCAACATTTAGAGGGAGAGACAGAGGGAGAGGGAGCGAGCGAGAGAGAACAAGGTATCAAGTTTTAGACTCAAAGAAAGGAATCTTATATGCACACAGCTAAATGAGGAACCAATCTGAAAAGAATACTTGCTTCAGGGGTCCATATCTCCTATGGCTGCTAAGACAGTTTAGTCACCACAGAGGATGACCTGAACTGGATCCCCATGACCCAAGTGCTGAAAGGAGACAACTGACTGCATGCGGTGGCAGGTGCACGCGTGAACAACAAATAGATATAATTTTAAGTTTCTAGCATCTTAGAAAAGGAAACTGGGATCAATGGCTACCAGGAACTGCTGTGAACAGTGAGGATTAGGAAGGAGGTAGTGCACAGGAAACTCCAGGCAGGCCAAGTATTCTGTACGGTGTTGAACAGACAGGACAGTAAATCTGTGAAAACCTAAGGGATGTAAGCTTGAAGACTGGACTCTAATTTAAGCTTTGGACAAAGCTGGTAGCCGATTAAGGTTCTCTGGCAATCCTCCCTACAGATGGCTGCTCATAAACCAGACCACCAAATGAGAATAAAGGGATCAGCGAACTGACTAGTGGGTGAGCTTACTTTAAACCTTGTGCTAAGCCCGTCACAGTGAAGCTCAGTGCTAGTACCCCCAGAAGTGAGCTGCTGAAACTATGCCCAACAGGCAGCCAAGAGAAAGCTTCAGTACTTCTAATTCAACCACAGCCGGCAAATGAAGAGCAAGACATGAACGCCAGCAGAGCCCTCAGAACCCAGTGACAGGCCTGGGTGTGTCTATGAGACGGTTTCCAAAAAGACTAACAAACTATGAAAACAGCCCCGAATAGGAGCAGAACCAGGGCCAGGGCCCAGAGAGAACAAAAGGAGAAAAACAGAATCTAGTTAGGTACCAGTGTTCCCTTCTCTGCTTCTTGGCCCAGCAGGATGAAAACTGCCCCGACATCCATGCCAGGAAAAGCAGGAGCCGAACAAAATCTCTCCTCCCTCAAGCTGTTTCTGTTAACTACTTTATCATAGCAACAAGAAAACGACTCAAAACCCCACCTACAACAGTGAAAACAGCAAAAATTACATTCTGGAAAGATGTGAGAGAAAGAACCATACAAGCTCCTGGTGTGAATGTAAACAGACAGACACTATGGATGCAGGATGTACGTTCTTAACAACAAAAGGTAGTGTACCGCCACATGATCGCAACAATCGAGAGAAATAAAATAAACCCAGAGCAGGAACGCCTGTGCACCCACGTTTACATGGCACTGTTCACAATAGCTAAGACACAGACCGAGCTACACGCCTGTCAAGGATGAATGTATAGTTATGGTCTGCAGGCACAGCACAGCACTGTGAAACAAATATCCACACAGAAGGAGGAATTCCTGCAGCGTGAATCACGTTAGAGAAATAAACCAGGCACCCAAAGACCAGTGCAGGTTTTCTTCCCTGGGGACACTAAATTCCATTTTTAAAAGTAACCTGCAAGTAGACTAGTGATTACTAGGGAGTTGGAAGGGCTTAAGGTCAGGGTAGGCGCACAGAGAGAGAAGATCATATCAACAAAGTGAGAACGATGATGTACGTACCATTAACTTCTGCCCTGGCTCAGGGCAGAAAATAACAAAATCTGCTTCAATATTAAGGTGAATGTGTCCTTGGTCATCATAAATATCTCCCAGTTCACCCACAACTCTGATGTTATCATATGCAATAGGGACACCTAAAAGGCTGTTAAAAAAAAAAAAAAGATAATGTTAATCCTTCTTAAAGATAATCTTAGTAATGGTGGCACAAAGCTGAGAGGCAGGGGTATCTCTGAGTTCGAGGTCAGCCTGGTCTATAGAGTGAGTTCCAGGACAGCCAGGGCTACACAGAAAAACCCTGTCTCAAAAAAAGAAATTAAAAAAAAAAAAAAAAGAAAATACAACCCAAAACAAAAAATATAATCACACTGATCTGCTATACCTCCCTGATATACCGGCCAATGCCAGAACATAATGGCAATGGCATCACTAATCTTGTAGGGTATAGGCTAACAATAGCAGATCTTTTTTTTAAAATGGTTCTTCCTCCTGAGGATTTTTTTTATTTTATTGATTTTTATTGAGCTCTACATTTTTCTCTGCTCCCCTCCCTGTCTCTCCCCTCCCCCCTTTAGTCCTCCCCCAAGGTCCCCAAGCTTCCAATTTACTCAGGAGATCTTGTCTTTTTCTACTTCCCATTTAGATTAGATCTATGTAAGTCTCTCTTAGTGTCCGCATTGTTGTCTAAGTTCTCTGGGATTGTGGTTTGTAGGCTGGTTTTCTTTGCTTTATGTTTAAAAACCACCTATGAGTGAGTACATGTGATAATTGTCTTTCTGGGTCTGGATTACCTCACTAAAAATAATGTTTTCTAACTCCATCCATTTTCCTGCAAAATTCAAGATGTTGTTATTTTTTTTCTGCTGTGTAGTACTCCATTATATAAATGTACCACATTTTTCTTATCCATTCTTTGGTCGAGGGGCATTTAGGTTGTTTCCAGGTTCTGGTTATGACAAACAAAGCTGCTATGAACATAGCTGAGTACATGTCCTTGTGGCACAATTGAGCATTCTTTGGATATATACCCAAAAGTGGTATTGCTGGGTCTTGAGGAAAGTGGTTTCCTAATTTTCTGAGAAATCGCCATACTGATATCAAAAGGGGCTTTACCAGCTTGCACTAGCATCAGCAATGCAGAAGTGTTCCCCTTTCCCCACAACCTCTCCAGCATAAGTTGTCATTAGTATTTTTGATCTTGGCCATTCTTACAGGTATAAAATGGAATCTCAGAGTTATCTTGATCTGCATTTCTCTGATGACTAAGGATGTTGAACATTTCCTTAAGTATCTTTCAGTCATTTTAGATTCCTCTGTTGAGAGTTCTCTGTTTAGGTCTGTACTCCATTTTTTTTATTGGATTATGTGATCTTTTGGTGTCCAATTTCTTGAGCTCTTTGTACATTTTAGAGATCAGACTTCTCTGTCTGATGTGGGGTTAATGACGATCTTTTCCCATTCTGTAGGCTGTCGTTTTGTCTTGTTGACTGTGTCCTTTGCTTTACAGAAGCTTTTCAGTTTCAGGAGGTCCCATTTATTAATTGTTTCTCTCAGTGTCTGTGCTGCTGGAATCATATTGATGAAGTGGTTCCCTGTGCCAATACGTTCAAGTGTACTTCCCACTTTCTCTTCTATAAGGTTCAGTGTGGCTGGTTTTATGTTGAGGTCTTTGATCCATTTGGACTTGAGTTTTGTGCATGGAGATAGATATGGATCTATTTTCATTCTTCTACATATTGATATCCAGTTATGCCAGCACCACTTGTTAAATATGCTTTCCTTTTTTCCATTTGATATTTTTTACTTCTTTACATAAGATGAGGTGTTCAAAGATGTGTGATTGATATCTGGGTCTTCTATTCGGTTCCATTGGTCCTCCTGTCTGTTCTAATGCCAATACCAGGCTGTTTTCAGTACTGTACCTCTGTAGCAGAGTTTGAAGTCAGGGATTGTGATGCCTCCAGAAATCCTTTTATTGCACAGGATTGTTTTGGCTATCCTGGGTTTTTTGCTTTTCAAATGAAGTTGAGTACCGTTCTTTCGAGGTCTTTGAACAATTTTGATGGGCAACAATAGCAGATCTTACCAATTACACTTTACCAAAAAATCCCAATGTGTTTGTTAAGTTAAAGCAACTATCAACACGGGTCTTCAGAACTATGCCCTGCAATAAACTGGCACTTTATGTGCTATGTGACTCAGTCACACTAGGAGAAATAGGGGGACGAGGTGAAGGAATGCCTAGGTATTTGTATGAGTGATTATGGGAAATTCTGACATTATCTACCATTACTGAGTTACTATGCCTCACAGAATGCAGAAGGGAAGCATTACTGTTTAATGTTACACCCTGTCATCACCAGAGTCAATGACTTAGTACAGAAAAATACAAAACTAAAGCCTTCTCTAGTAAAAGGAAACGTTAGCGTGCACAACCGTATCACTTGGTTAACAGCCACACTTCACTACTGACCATTTATTATTTACCTCCCACAGCAAACACTTCCTGAAGAAAAGTTCCTGACTCCCAAAGAAACCAACCACTCCTTTCCCATGTGAAAATGAATTACTATTCGAAACCTAGTTTTACTGAATCCATCTCCATTTTTGTTTGGATTTTGTATACAACTTTAGGGTCACAGATGTCGGAAAATGTTTTTTGGCTTCAATTAAGTTTCCAGTACAATCCATCCAGAGTAAGAGAAAGGAGTCTCTCTAACAGATTTCATTTTAGCAAAACAGCACAACTCATAGGGAAGAAACTGTAATAGATACCTAAATAGGAACCCATAGACTCAGAGATCTTCTCAGAAGAGCACTCTCCAAGTTTATAGCTTCTACACGCAGCTTACGTAGGCAGGAGTCATAACATCACTACAGTAATATTAGAGACACTGAAAACGGAACAGAAAGGAAAAGCAAGAAGCAACACCACAAGTGATAGAAAAAGGTCTCTGTGGTTTCCACGAGAAGCCTTCCCTCTACATAATACTCAGAAGTGATTCTCCGTGAGGAGAGCACCACTGTCCCCTAGAAGGCACTTGGGGAAATGTAGCATGTTCATGTTTATCACAGCCAGGAAAGAACAGTTCTGTACATGTGCAAGCAGCCTCTATGCATGATTCTTGATTATAATGATGGGGATAGAATTTACCTTTAAAAATAAGTATATCAAAAGTCATCTGTCAACTTTGCATGCTCTTAAAATACTAAAAAATGCTGGGAATGGGTTAATACTTAAATCCAAGAAGACTGCTTTGTGGTACTTTACCAAGAGTAACTATTTCCTAAAAGCGCTGATAATGTAGACGCAGCATGTGTTACCTGAGTAACTATTTCCTAAAAGCACTGATAATGTAGACACAGCACTGTTACCTGAGTAACTATTTCATAAAAGCACTGATAATGTAGATACAGCATTGTTACCTGAGCTCTAACTGCAAACACCTGAATCAATGCTCACTGTGACTGCATCTCTTATCCAGCATCCATCTTCAGTCTACCCAGGCACTTGCGCTTGATGTCATGGATTAAAAATGTATGTGGCTAGAACACCATGTAAAAATTTTAATTATGTAGGTTTTGTTAACTTTTAAATTTCATTTCAGCATAGTGGACAATGTTTTCATAACAGTAAAGAGAACACTGGAAATTATTGCTTCTAAGAGGACACTAGGTCCCAAAGGATTCACCATCACTAAGGATGCTATGACCACTGAAAGGCTAAAACAACTTGTGCAAACCATAAAACCTCTGAGAAACTACTTAGAGTACCTTACCAAAAGTCATACACTCGAAGAAAGACACTCTAACACTGTATGACTTTTTCTCGTTTATCTTATTAAAAAAAAAAATCAAAACCTCTCAAGTAGCTATCAAGTTCACATGGGAACTTCACCTAGGCTATGTGGGGACATCTAAATCACACTGACGGGATATGCAGCTGGAGCACTTCAGACTTCTCTGGAACTACCAGGAGAGAATGCATTTGGTGTCTTTAAATAACACAAGGATGCCAAACAGAAAACAATGGGCTTTGTTTAGTTTTCTTTTTCCCACAACAGGCTTCTTACAAATTCAACTTAGAAGCTATAATCTGATTAAAGAAAACCACTTCTTTCTCTAAGACAACAGTCCAAAGCTGAAATGGAATTACCACTTTAGAAAGACTGTGCCACTAAGAAAGAAAGGAAGTCTGTCAAATAGGAATATTGGAGAGATGACTTAAGCAAACATGGGAGTCTGGACGTCTCAATTCCTCTCTCTATATGTATGTGTGTATGTATATATGTGTACATATATACATACACACACATATATACACATATATGTGTGTGTATATGTATATATATATATGAGGATCCAGACCTACTGATGCTATGGGATTGCCCACTTGCCCCCAAGTCTGAAAACATAAACTATACAGAATAAATGGTTAATATTATAATACAGTTCCCAACACTTTCAACGTTTTGTCTCTTCCTTACTTTATTAATACTCAGATAACACTGGAATCTAATCTGCACTGAAAAAGCTAGGTTTCTTTTAGCATAACTCATGAGTAATAAGGAAGGGAGGTATCCAGATGGATTTAAGAGCATATTCCATTCTATACGGCTGCATTATCCAACTCTGCTACAGAAATTATCTGTTTCTCATCAGGAATAACAGCTTCTATTATATATCTCTAGACAATTTCCCCTAACGATGAAGGAAGTAATTGGTTAGAATACTAAGTAACATAACCTGTGTTTTCATATTTAATGATCACCTTGTATGTTCTTAAATCTTTCGAACCTTCTAATCATTTTACTTAGCTAATTACAAAAAAAATGATCTCTCTCTATTGCCTCATCCTATTTAAAATATCATCTAATTCAAAATTGCTTCTTAAATTGCAGATTTGGCCACGTCCCAGGGAATGCAGATATTTGCTGCTCCTCTAGAAAAAATGCCAAGTCTCGGCTGGAGGCTAGTAACTGGATAAAGCAACAGGTGTGCTTTAAAAACCAACATCACCGGGCCGGAGAGATAGGTCAGTGGTAAAGAGCACTTGGTGCTCCTGCAAAGGACCCAGGTTCCAGTCCCACCCACTTAGAGGTTCACAACCACCCATAATTCCAATTTCTGAAGATACAATGCCTTCTGACGACTCCAGGCTTGCATTTACAGACAAGTAAGCAAAACACTCATGCACACAAGTAAATCTAATACAACGAAAACAAAAGCAAAACAAAGAAAACAAAAGTAAAACAGAAAGTAAAATATGAGAGAGAGGGAGAGAGAGAGAGAGAGAGAGAGAGAGAGAGAGAGAGAGAGAGAGAGAGAGAAAAACAGCTATGATCAGCGAATGACCCAACATGGTATAAAATAAATAAGTGTAGTTCNGAGAGAGAGAGAGAGAGAGAGAGAGAGAGAGAGAGAGAGAGAGAGAGAGAGAATATAACAGATGAAGGCAGAAGGGGAAAGAATAAAGGCCATTTTCTAAGTCACCCAACCCCCAGCTCACCCCTCCCTCCCCCACCCCTGTCTTTGACACTCCACTTAGGTATCCAGCGGCACTCAATGCGTTTCCCCTGCCATAAGCTTCCCCACGGTTACACACTATGTACAGCCCTCTGGTCCGAGCACACAGCCGGGGTTTACTACCCATCTGTTTATGCCGCTCACTGGCTAAAATGTACCCTCTAACTACGTCCTATTGTGTTGTTCTCAAAAGCTACAAGACTAATTTCACTTCTATGTAACTGAATTTAGGTCTGTCAAATTTTAACAGTTCTCTGGATTTGTCTTACATTTATGTCCCCACAATAGTGCTAAGCTCCCTGAAAGTAGGATCCTACTTTTGTCTTTCTATGCAACTCCCCAAGATGTGCAGACATCCAAGTATGCACTGGCGTTCCAAGAAAGCTGGATTTATTATCCTAGGCAGGCTTGATAGAAATGGGGTGCCCAGAGAAGTAACAGCTTTAGATAATTTCCCTAAGAACAGTCACCACAAGAATCCCCGCAACTCCGAAGTTCCATGGAATCCCTGAAGGACGATGACGTCTCGGGAACCTTTGCCTCGGAACCTCAGAACCTCGTCCCCTTTCGCACCAAATTAATTGTGGAGTACTAGGGTATTATTACTTCTCTTTGAAACTCTGAGATTTAATTCTCAGACTTTTTTTTTCAAGTTACTCTTGAGTATCTTAATATAAATACACTAGTTTTATTTTGTTTATTCGTGTCTAGAGAGCTGAATAAACTTTCTGTTCCTACAAACAAAACTAGGCAAAAGGCGATATTCATCGCGCATTCCCAACTGGGCCGTAGAGAAGAAAACCTCGGGAAATCACCCCAAGCTAACAACAAACCCGCCTATGCCCATGTTTATACGCTGTCTTCCAAGGGGAAGAGAATCTCGTACTGACAGCAAAATTTCACTACTAACGGGAACTCACCCGGAAGTGGCTAAGTGAAATTTTTATAAAGCTCAGCCGACCGCGTCTCTAGACGCCGGGCAGTCCCGGACCCCGCAGTGGGATGCTCTTCGCCCGCGCTCGCACTTGCTGTCAGCTTCCTCCCCAGGGGCTGGGTCCCCTGTTCTCTCCCCCACACCCTGCGGTCCGGACGCAGGGTCCGCGGCGCCGTGGGGTCACCGGGCCGGAGCCCACCCCCACGCGGCGAAGGACGGCGGGCCCGCCGGAGACCGTACCTCTCGGAGTAGCGCAGCAGCTCGGCGTCCAGCTGCTCGCGGATGCCCGTGCGCTTCCGGCTCAGGTAGCGCGGCGACAGCGCGATGTGCCTGCGGTGCGGGCCGGCCACCAGGCACGAGTAGCGGCTGCTCACCAGCGCGCACGCCGCGGCGTAGCTCGGCAGCTCCAGGCAGGGCAGGACCCCGGCCTGAGCCGCCGCGGGCCTCGCCGGGGCCGCCCTGGGCCGCGGAGACTCCCCGCAGCCCGCAGCCATGCGGCTCGACCCGGGCTTCGGCGCGCGCGGTGACGTCACGCGCCCGCCCCGCCTCCGAGCCTGGTGACGTCATCAACCCGAGACCGACCCGACTCCTTCGGGCTGCGTTATGCAGATGTGGCCAGCAGAGGGCAGCTACTCTTTCCCAGGTTTAGGTAAAAATGCAGAGGCGTTGGTACCCATGAAGCATGCGTCAAACCCGGAGACAGATGGAGATTGTTCCCCTCCAGGAAAGTATGCTGTGATGGGGAGAAGTTTGGTTTTATTGATCTGGACTTAAAAAGGCAGAGGGCCAATATAGACTGATTTTTTTTTTAAGCTGTTTCAATGCTGGGCCAAGGTCTAGTAAATTAGTATTCTCTTTGTGTGTGTGTGTTTGGCTTTTTTGCTTTTAGACATTGTCTTTCCGTGGAGCTTTGACGGAATTGAAATTGAAATTCACTGTGTTTAAAGCCACTTGAAACTCATGAGCTGTTTCGTTCTAACTCTTAGAGATCCGCCAGCCTCTGCCTCAGGGGAACTGGGATAAAAGGCATGTGCCACTTTGCCCGGTTAAGTATTTTCTTTATTGGATTTAGAGTGCCCCTTTCCAGTTGCAACGTTGCCTGAAGCTTTTCAATATGGAATAAGAAACATCAGTGGAGTGTATTTCCTCTGGTGAACCCAGTTCTACGCAGCAGGCCACAAATCTCAACCTGAACCACCGCATCTCCCCAGTCTGGTTTCTCTCCTTCTACTGAACCACTGTGAGGGTATCCTGCCATGCTTTTCAACGTGACTGAGCCCAGCTTACCAGCCCCGAGCCTTTTGTTGAACACCCAGACATCAATCAGTTCAGCAGGAGGGCTTGTATTGCTCAAAGCAGAAACCAAGCTCCTTTGGGGAAACTAAACTCTTCCTCTGATTCTTACATCCCCCCCCCCCTTCTTCAGTGACGATCCCTAAGCCTTAGGTGCGGAATTGTGCTGTAGACATAACAGTTTAGACTGGGATCCACAACTCTACCTTTTGGCTGACAGTTTTCTGAAATGGTCTTCATCGGTTGCAGCGTGAAGGTTCCTTGTTGAGAAGTGAGGACTGCACTTAGGTGTGTAAAGACAATATTTAGAGTGTAGTAGTTGCCTGTTTAGCAAAGTGGTAATTGTAGGTTCTCCTCCAAGATCCATGGTATCACAAACCATAATATTGTCTAGATTTCTGTCACTAAGCATGATTTTTGTCGTTCTGGTCATGGTTGTGGTTCATGGGGCATTTTGGTTGTGTAGAACTTGTATGGTGAGTTATTTTGGGGCCAAAATTGTCTCAGAGTCTCTATCATCTTCATAAAGTTATTTTTAAGGTCATTTCCTTCTACCTCACCTGTATTGGGATGTTCAGGTCTTGGTGTGCCATATTGCTCTCGATGTTGTTGAGTGTATTTTTACACTGCTGTCTACCCATCTGGGTTTGGGATAATTATAAGTATGGGTGTTGATTCTTATGATGTCTTTGTTGGCTGGGTCTTTTGTTTCTTTATTGTCTTTTGGCCTGAATGACCAACGCTATGGTAACTGGCTGGTTGTCAGGTCAAGGAGGGTTTTCTCAGCTGAGGTTTGTGGGGGTTTGGGTGCCTAGAGCCAGCATATCATCCACTTCTTCTGGCTGGTGTGCACTTTACTCCTCCCTGTGGGGTCTGTTCCTGCAGCTGGTGTGGGCTGTGCCTGTTCCTGCAGCTGGTGTGGGCTGTGCCTGTTCCTGCAGCTGCTGTGGGCTGTGCCTGTTCCTGCAGCTGGTGTGGGCTGTGCCTGTTCCTGCAGCTGCTGTGGGTTGTGCCTGTTCCTGCAGCTGCTGTGGGCTGTGCCTGTTCCTCCAGCTGGTGTACACTTTACTCCTGCCCGTGGGACCTGTTCCTCCAGCTGGTGTGGGTTGTGCCTGCACCTCTTTATCCAGCTGCTGTGAGTGGCACTTGTGCCTACAGAGCCTGCTGATGTGGCTGGAGAGAGCTCTTCTAATTGGTAGAGGTGGTGCTCTTGCCTCTAGGGGTTGCTGATCTTGCAGGGGATGGTAGGTGAGGGTGGAGGTTGATGGGTTCGGTGGCAGTGGCAGCGGAGTGGCCTGCCTGCAGGACTCTTACCTGTTGGCTGACTGTCCTTCACTGTGGCTTTTAACCAAACTGCTTTACCTCAGAACACCCACACAGCTGTTCTGCTGCAACCAACTTTAAAGTTGTAGGAGCAAAACTATACACTTCATTGTAAACAGGATTTTGCTTTCACTTTAGTAGAAACACGATGCTTTTTCTTTCCAAATTAGCCACTGCATGGTGTTTTCTTCACTCGTGCGACTGTAATCTAAAGATGACGCTGAGTGCTTGCTAAAGTTCCACAGTCTGGTGCTCTGCTCTCTTTCCTTCTCTCCTTTATAACCCTAACCCTAACCAACCCCGGAGCCTGAGCCTAATGTCCTTATGCGACACTACAGTCATGCCGTGCTGTGCTCCGCTCTCCTGGGAATGCCCACCACCTCTCCTACAGCGCTTGGCTGTGCGGTGCATTGGTGCACACCGTTCTCGCTCTTGTCCTTGTTTGCAGCGTGTTCTTCACGCATCTGTTTTACCTAGGAAAGTACACCCAGCTGTTCTGATTAAAGCAGCTTCAGAGCTGTAGTAGAACCAGCCACTTCATGGTAAACAGGATTCACTTCCCTACAGTAAACGCACACAGCAGATTTTGCAAATATGCCACTGTGCAGAGCTTTGGTTCTGTTTTTCTACATGGGCATGTGTTTTCTAAAGATGACACTGGGATTGTCAAATGTACAGATATTTATGCTTGGCTCTCCCATCCCTTTCTTGTCCTTAACCCTAACAGTAACCCTGGCCCTAGCCCTGTGCAGTGCCAAAATTAAGAACACGTGTTCTACATTATTGGGAATTACCATTTCTCTCACAGTGCTTGGCTGTGAGGTACACTGGTATAGCACAGTTCTTGATCTTGTGAAAGTGCTGCGTTTTCACTGTGATTTCAATGTGGGACACTGCAGTTCTCCTGGGTAATAGGATTCGCCTTCCACTGCAGTGGAAATACAGTGGTATTTGCTAAGACGCCAGCCACTAGGTGGTGTTTCAGTCACTTGTGCCTGTGTTTTCTAGACATAGCAGCGAGTGGTTCTAAAATTGCAGTCATGCTCTGCTTTATTTTCCTTTCTTGTTCTTAACTCTAGCCCTAAGTATAATCCGAAGACTAACACCAACACGATGTCCTTGTAGAATAAATTCATTTATAAAATAAATTTATGGGCTCTGCTTTCGTGCAAAACAAGTGCCTGCTGCTTCTGCAGTTCTTTGTCTGGGAGGTGCACTGGTGTAACAGAGTTCTTGATATTGAGTAAGTGTTGCTGTTTTCATTGTGTTTGTAACAACCTGCTTTACCAAGTAACTTATGTGCAGCTATTCTGGTCAAAGAAACTTCAGAGCTCTGTGAGCAAACCCGTCACTGCTGCATTGTTAACAGGACTCACTTTTTCTGCAGTACAAGTACAAAGACTTTTCCAAATACACCTCTGTGCAGTGTTTTGTTTCGTTTTGTTTTCACTAAGGTGTGTGTTTTCTAAGGTTGACACTGTGTGCTGTTAAACTTGCAGATTTCTATGCTGGAATCTAATGTTCCTTTCTTGTTCTTAATCCTAAACCTAACCCAAACTCTGTCCTTAAACCTAACCCTAACCCTAAATCTAACCCAGACTTTGTCTTTAAACCTTACCCTGACACACCACAGTTACATTGAAAAGCAGTAATTTCTCATATTGGAAAGTATATTTTAAACTAAGTGTAACTTTCATCAGTGGCACACATCTGTAACCACAGCACTCAAGGGGCTGAGGCAGGGGGATGTCATGAGTTCAAGGCCATCCTGCATTATCACAGCAAACAAAAGCAACAATCTAAACATACACACTTGGGTTTAGAAAGCACTATAAACCTTTTTTCCCTTCTAGAATTCCCTTACCCTTCTCCTCTCCTTGAAGACTATGGTAGTTTAAATGTCACTGGCCCCCATAATCTCATTGGGAGTGGCACTATTAGGAGGTATGGCCTTGTTGGAGGAAGTGTGTCACTTGGAGGCAGGTTTTGAGGTATCCTATGCTCAGGTTACCAACCAGTGTCTCAGTTCAAGTTCCTCTTGCTGGGAAGATGTAGGTCTCTCAGCTATAGACCCTAGTATGTAGTAAGAGGTACGCTCCTATCCTAAGGCTTCCTATGTGGCAGCAGGTTCTATATCAAAACTCTTAGTACAAATCTTAGTTACCACACAGACAGCAGGGGAAAGTAGCAGAAACTGCCAAGGGTCTCACTAAAGACAAATCAGGCATCCAGCCTTAGAGACAGCCTGGGCTGTCCTCTGGGCTCAAGGACACTCTTCAGGTGACAGCAGGTAGAGAACGGGAAGTCTCACCTGGGGGTGGGGGGGGAGTCCCACGTTGAGCTTTGGAAAAAGCTGCCAGGCTATGATAGGCTGTGACTTCTGACCAGCAAGGCCTTCCAACAGGGTTTGGTTCTCAGCACCCATGGTGGCTAACAACCATCCATAACTCCAGTTCTGGGGTATCTGACCCCCTCTTCTGGCCTCCACAGGCACCAGGCACACACGTGGTGCACACACACATACATGCAAGCAAAACATGCACATAAAATAAAACCTAAAATATTAAAAAAAAAAAACAATTAAAGCCTTAACACATTCATCTGGATGCATTACATTTTTAAAGCACAATAGGGAAAACAAAACAATGGGTGTGGTCCACATCCTCAGGAAGTTGACCAGAACCAGGCGTAGAACACACGTTGGACTTGCTACCTAGCATCAAGTTCAGTGTTCTTTGCTGATCACTGGGAGCACAATTCTGCTGCAGCTGGGTTGAAAGCATCTGATAAAGTTCTGAGTTAATGAAAGGGGACGAATGAAAACTTGGTAGAATCATTTATTAACTGGAGTTATGATGTCACTAAAACGACGACCATATTTCCTGCATTCTCCTGTTCCTAAGAAAACACAGAGCAGAAA